CATTCCACCCAGGAACGAGGGGAGTTCGCGCCCCACTACCCGCAGTCAGGCTACCAGCTCTAGGGGCAGCCAGCAGGACCGCACTACCTAGGGGTTTGGCCGGGGCCCACTACCCGCAGTCAGGCTCCCAGCTCTAGGGGCAGCCAGCAGGTCCGCACTACCTAGGGGTGTGGCCGGGCCCCACTACCCGCAGTCAGGCTCCCAGCTCTAGGGGCAGCCAGCAGGTCCGCACTACCTAGGGGTGTGGCCGGGGCCCACTACCCGCAGTCAGGCTACCAGCTCTAGGGGCAGCCAGCAGGACCGCACTACCTAGGGGTGTGGCCGGGGCCCACTACCCGCAGTCAGGCTCCCAGCTCTAGGGGCAGCCAGCAGGACCGCACTACCTAGGGGAGTGGCCGGTGCCAACTACCCGCAGTCAGGCTCCCAGCTCTAGGGGCAGCCAGCAGGTCCGCACTACCTAGGGGTGTTTGCTCCCCACTACCAGCAGTCAGGCTCCCAGCTCTAGGGGCAGCCAGCAGGACCGCACTACCCAGGGGTGTGGCCGGGGCCCATACCAAGAGTGAGGATTTAAAAAGCGATGACTCTCCTTCAATAAAACTCTTATATTGGAACATATCTGGATTGAAATCTAAATTAGATGACTGTGACTTTGTTTCATATTATATTCATTTGACAGTGTAGGCCTCACAGAGACGTGGATTCAGAAGTTAGACTTCCAGAACAAGTTGGCTGATTATTTATGTTATAATAGACCAGGTGATAAGTTAGCAAAAGCAGGGAGACTCTCTGGCGGCATCATAGTTATGGTTAGAAAACAGCTGAAAAAATATATTAAGCGGAATTGGGTGAAAGAAAGTGGTATTTACATTCTATTAGATAAATTACTGTTTGGTACTGTAACACATGTGCTATACTGTTGTGCATATACACACCCGGAAGGCTCAACCTATTATGATAAATGTGTTACTTCTAGAAATGGTGTACTGATGTTTCAAGACGAGCTCCTGGATATTTTAAATCAGATCGATGACGTTTCATGTATTTTGGGGGGAGATTTTTACTCCAGAACAGGGACAGAACCCGACTTTGTGGAAGACGACATTTTGGATTATCTTGAAGGGCGTGATAACTCGTCTTGGGATTTCTTGATAGACCATTTTGATTTGCAGAGATGCACTGCTGACACTATTTTGATTAAGTTTGGTAAATGTTTGTTGAACCTATGTTCTGTCTTAAATATTCATATTATGTATGGTCGTTGTGGCAGTGACGCTTGTTTTGGGGACTATACATTCATCAGTAGTAGAGGGGCAAGTGTAAATGACTATATTATCTCCAACGTACATATGTTTGAACTCTGTAAAACATTCGACATTGACACATGTTACGAGTCGCAACATTTTCCATTAATGGCTTTACGTACGTGTACGCTTCACTCAGACATCGAGGGTTATGATGATATCAATTATGCAAGTACATTTAGATTTAAGTGGAGAATTGATAAAGAAGAAATATTTCTTTGTAACTTAGCTTCAGACAAGTTTGTATCACTGGTTGAAAAAGCAGTTGATGCCGTATTTACAAATATTGATGAAAGTATCGAGCTTATTAGAGAGGCACTCTCCTATGCTGGGAACGAAATAAAGCAAGTGGTTCACGTGGTCAAGAAAACACAACAATGGTTTGATTGGGAATGTCAGTTACTAAAAAAAGAGAGATGTACATGCCTCAACAAATTCAGAACAGATAAAGATTTACAGTCGTTAAGGGAATATACAAGAATAAGAAATCTTTACAAAACCACGTGCAGGGTAAAGAAGATTATATTTTTTTGAAAGAAAAAACAATATTTGGAAGATAACATTAAGTCGTCGAAAGAATTTTGGACAACCCTCCGAAAGCTAACTCCACATTATGAGTTCAAAAATAATATTGAAATTGATAAATGGTATGATTATTTCCAAAATATGTTTAGTGGTAATGGTGTTAGGGATGATACCTTTTTTTGAAATGACATAACTGCTACAATTCTTGACTCGCCAATCACAAGAGAGGAAATTAAAAAAGCTATCTACGATTCGAAAAACAGCAAGAGTTCCGGCATAGATGGTTTAATTCAAGAGTTTTTTAAACATTCTGTTAATATTCTACTTCCATACATGTACCTTGAATTACTGTTTAATATGATTATAGAAACGTCTTATTTCCCAAAAGAGTGGACTATCGGTGTGATTGTTCCACTACATAAATCAGGATCACGTACCGATACAAAAAAATATCGAGGAATTACCCTTCTGAGTGTTTTTAGCAAAATATTTGTTTCTATTATTAATAAAATGCTCACTTTTCGTTAGATTCATTAGATAAAATTTCGGAAGAACAAGTAGGTTTTAGACAAGGGTATTCAACCACGGATAATATTTTCGTACTTAATGCGATTATTCACAAATACATGCAGAGAAAAGGTGAAAAAATTTATACAATTTTTGTAAATTTCAAAAAAGCGTTTGATTCTGTAAACAAAAATATAATGTGGTCATTGTTTCTTTCAAATGATGTGAGTAATAAAATGGGTAAATTATTATGCAATATTTATCAAAATGTAAAGTCATGTGTTAAAAATCGGGGAATATACTCTGATGTCTTCACATGTAACATTGGTGTACGCCAAGGCTGTATTCTTAGCCCCATCCTGTTCTGTTTTTTCATCAATGAACTGGCTGCACAAGTTAAGGAAAATTGTACGGATGGTATACAGCTGCATCCAGATATTGTGAAGATATTCTGTTGCTTTTTGCTGATGATATAGTCCTGTTCTCTAGTACGATAAAAGGTTTACAGAATTTGATAGATCAACTGGAGCTGTACTGTTCTAATTGTAAACTCCAAGTGAACACTGAAAAAACGAAAGTGTTAGTTTTCAAAAAGGGAAATAAACTATCAAGTAGGAAAAATGGTTCATCAACTCACAATTTTTACGAATTGTCACTTCTTATAAATATCTGGGGGTAACCTTCACAGGCAGATTATCGTGGAAGTACCACACCAGTAATGCAGCAATGCAGGCAAAAAAAATACCAATGGGAATCTTACATAGTTTTACTTTTACTGATCCTTCATATCAAACCTTTTTTTTTAAATTTGATACAAAAATTACTCCAATTTCTTTTATATGGAGCAGAGGTCTGGGGGCATACTGAATACAGAACTATTGAACTGGTCCATCTATATGCTTGTAAACGATTCCTTGGCGTAAAAAAACTCTACAGCGAGTGTTATGGTATATGGTGAATGTGGACGTGTACCACTTTACATATTTCAACATATTAGAATTCTCAAGTATTGGTTCAAGATTCTTAAAATGCCTTTTGATAGATCACCTAGAAAAACACGGAATCCGCAATTGGGTATATGATGTAAAGTCGTTATTACATATTGCGGCTATGGGTATGTTTGGCATAATCAATGTGTACCAAACAATCCAGATTCATTTTTAGTATCTTTACGCCAAAGGATATATACTTACAAAAATGGGCATCGCATGTTTTAAGTTCAGAAAAATGCAATTATTACAAGCTTTTCAAGACAACAATTTCCCCAGAATACTATTTGTTTGACATCAACTTTAAAAGGTTTAGAATAGGTTTAGCACAATTTAGATGCAGCTCTCATAGACTTAGGATCGAAGTAGGCAGGCATAGAAACATAGCCAGAGAATTGAGAATATGTGAGCAATGTGGTTTAAATGTGATTGAAGATGAGTTTCATTTTCTGTTAGTTTGTCCAAAATACGACCACCTTAGAAGAAAATATATTGATCTGACTTGTTATGTACATCCCACTCTACAAAATGTACAACGATCATGTCAACAACTGATAAAGATACTCTAAAAAATCTATCAATGTTCATTTATCATGCTATTTTAATTAGAATATGACCTGTTAAACTGATCTGTAACCGCACCCGAAAACAGAACTGTACTGTGGGCCTGAGGCCTTTCAGTATGGAATAAAACTTATCCTGGCCTTATCCTTATCCCATCCCATCCCATCCCATCCCATCCCATCCCATCCCACCCTACCCTACCCTACCCTACCCTACCCTACCCTACCCTACCCTACCCCACCCCACCCCACCCCACCCCACCCCACCCCATCCTTTCCCATCCTACCCTACCCTACCCTACCCTACCCTACCCTACCCTACCCTACCCTACCCCACCCCACCCCACCCCACCCCATCCCATCAATTCCCATCCCATCCCATCCCATCCCTATCCCATCACATCACATCACATCACATCACATCCTATCCTACCCGAACCCTACCCTACCCTACCCTACCCTACCCCATCCCATCCCTATCCCATCCTTATCCCTATCCCATCCCATCCCATCCCATCCCATCCTTTCCCATCCTATCCTACCCTACCCCATCCCATCCCATCCCATCCCATCCCTATCCTATCCCTATCCCATCCCATCCCATCCCATCCTTTCCCATCCTACCCTACCCTACCCTACCCTACCCTACCCTACCCCAACCCATCGTTATCCCATCCCATCCCATCCCATCCCATCCTACCCTACCCTACCCTACCCTGCCCTACCCTACCCTACCCTACCCTACCCTACCCTGCCCTACCCCACCGCATCCAACCCCACCCCATCCCATTCCATCCCATCCCATCCCTATCCTACCCTATCCCATCCCATCCCATCCCATCCCATCCCATCCCATCCCTACCCTACCCTACCCTTTCCTATCCTATCCTATCCTATCCTATCCTATCCTATCCTTATTTCATCAAATTTTATTCATCGATTCGGTAGAGCTATACATAATGGACAGTCGAGCCCCTGTCAACATCACAGTTGCCCCTGTGATATTTACAATCCGTGAAAGACGTTTGTTCACCCTGTCGTCTTTATGATGGTAAGTGTTTACACGGGCGTCAAAGGACGCCGACAGCGGGTATTACCTTTAATGTGAGCATGTCTTGGACGGAGTTGTGTTGGTGTATATACTTACACAGCGGGGCCGCTGTAACTCTCACACCCCTCAACCCTGTCAACCTAACCGACCCGAGTGGAGTGTTCAGAACAGCACACTGACAACGACAGAACAGACCATCTAGGAGCAGGTGTCCAGAATCCTGTCCATCAAACACAGCCGAAACACAGATAATACACACGCAGGTACGTGATTTTAGGCAAAACGATTCCCAGGTCATCTACTCGGTTAGACCCATGCTTGCAATACAAGGCGACTATGCTTGCCGTAAAGGGCGACTAACGGGCTGGGTGGTCAGGCTGACTGACTTGGTTAATGCATGTCATTAATCTCAATTGCATGGAACGATGCTCATGATGTCAACCACTGGGTTAATTTGAAAAAGTGCTCTTGGTAACTGTGGCCTTCATTTTTCAGATAGATAATGCTTTTGATAAAACTGCATCACGCATATATACTAACGGAAAAAAGTAACTGTGCTTCATATATATGTGATGTTATTGAAAATAACATCATATGTGGTCATGCGTCTGATTAATGTTTTATCATAACCAATTTATCGACCTTGCGAGTTCTCTGATTTAATCTGTCATAACTAACAACGAGGTTCGCGCGTAACAGAGACAGCGAAACGCCCTAAAAGAGGGGTGGTGTGAAAACTCAATCAACAATGTCAATAACGGGTGTGACCACCATTGGCGTTGATGCAGGCGAGGCAGCGGCGGTGCATTGAATCACCAGATGATTGAAAACAGCCTGGGGAATATTGTTCCAAAATTAATGTCAACCAAAGATTTGCCCAACTGAGAAAGCGTTACCGGTCGGTTCTGATCCAGTCGTAGACGTTGGTCTATCTCATCCCAGACGTGTTCTATAGGGGAGAGGTCTGGAGAAACAGCCTGCCATGTCAGTACAGCAATGTTATGCTGCCTGTAAAAGTCTTTTACAACACGTACAACATGAGGGCGGGCAATATCCTGCTACCACCTGACGTTACGTCCCTGCATTTGCACAAAGGGCAGAACATGATCTTGGACGATGTCGTCCTTATAGCGTGCGCCATTCAACAATGTGTTGTGTCTCCCATGAGTTGTGATGCCACCACATACCATACACTTCCGTCCCCAAATTTGCGACTTAAAACATTTTCTAAAGACCCTTGCACGACCATCAGAGCTGTCAAGATGAAACCCGGACTCATCTGTGAACAGTATACTGTCCCAGGCTTGTCTTCCAAACCTCAGATGCTGTCTACATCAAGCTTGGCTTGACTGTCGGTGACGTGGAAGCAACATTGGACGTATAGATGGACGTCGAGGTTGGATGGGCCTCTGGCGCTAATGGGTCTAAAACCAGAAATTGTCCGAGCTGTTATTGTGGCAGTTTTGTATCGATTCCGTAGATACACCAGCCGAATATGGTTGTCTGGTTGACGTGACGCCACACGTGGACGAACGGCCCGTGGTAAGTCATGAGTGTTGCCCGGTTATGAGTGAGTGAGTGAGTTAGGTTTTTCGCCGCTTTTAGCAATATTCCAGCAATATCACGGTGGGGGACACCAAAAATGGGCTTCACACATTGTCCCATGTCGGGAATCGAACCCGGGTTTTCGGCGTGACGAACGAACGCTTTAACCACTAGGCTACCCGACTGTCCCGGTTATGAGTAGACAACGTCTCTAAAGAGATGATATTGTGTTTGATGGACATCAAAATATCTGGCAACTTCGCGTTGTGCCATTCCTGTTTGCAGCATACCCACGAGGGGGGGGGAGTCAGCCTGTCAAAATGAAAATATGATATATGGTGAAAATCCAAGTCAGTCTGCACACACTCGCTCTGGATGTGCAAATGTATATATTTTTAATAGGAAGCAACACATTCATCGAAAATAGTGTATCACATTGATAGTGTTCATATTTAGCTTTCCGTATGACAGAAACCGTCCAAGTATGTGTTGTGATTATTGCCTCTATTAGAAGACACGCAGGTTATGTTGTTGTATATCTAGTGAGCTCTATTATATTAGGGGCGATCGGGTAGCCTAGTGGTTAAAGCGTTCGCTCGTCACGCCGAAGACATGGGTTCGATTCCCGACATGGGTACAATGTGTGAAGCCAATTTCTGGTGTCCCCTGCTGGAATATTGCTAAAAGCGGTGTAATACTCACTCACACACTCTGTTATATAAATCTTCTTGTCCATTTCAAAAAGAGAATGTTCACTCGAAGAATAATATCCTTACATAAAAACAGTAATACAGTGTATAACTTGTTATTCAACTGTCCCAACTGTGGCGGATATACCCATCCGTCTTACAACCTTAAAATGTTAAGTGACTGAGTGAGTAAGGTTTAACGCCGCTTTTAACAGTATTCCAGTTACATCACGGCGTGTCAGCTTAATGTGGGAGGAAAGCCTGAAGTGATGCAGGTCTCAGACGTTTACCGCTTCGGTGAAACCCACGAGCACGGGTATGGTGCTGACAAACCTAGAAACATAATCGGGGCGAACCGGGATTCATAGGTTTCTGGCGTGCCCAAGGGACGCAACTCTGCATAGCGAATCGCGGCGCCTTAGACGACTGGGCCACCCGTGCCCCCTTAAAATGTTAAGAGTACGTGCACTGGAAATACCGGCACTGTTCGGAGTATTACGTCCGTGTTTTGTCCGGGTGTTTTGTTTGTCAGGCAAGGGAGAATTTCCAGTGTGTTTTTGATAGGAGACAAAAACAGGCTCCTTCAAACTGAAATTAGCTAGTAAAGGATTATCAAGCTAAAACATAATTTCGCACTCTGCTCACTCACCCAAAGCTCCATTCGTGACAAACTCGTGTCATTCCGGGACAAGCCGAATAGCGACTCGTGCCCCTTTCATGGCCATTTTTGCGACCTGGTTCCGTCTTAGCGCAAACGGGCATACCTAAAACAATTGTCAACTCGTTGCGTAATGGTTCACATATATTTCCCCATATATTATATATATTTTAGATGCAATTTAAAGCACATCGGGACATGCGGGATTATACAGTATGATTGACCACATTTAACTGTGTCTTGGGTATATTTTTAGATGTAAGACGTATGTTAAATTAAAAATTGTTTCTGAGGGATTCTTTGACGAAGAACTTGAAATCATACGCGCATTCTGATTGGTTTGTCGTATTTTCGCAAGGGGCGAGTGGTGACGAATGCCAAAGCTCAAAACGCCAGCTTTCGCTTGGCAACATAATTTGACCAAATAGCTGACCTCCTTCATTTGGCTTTTCATTTTAATGTGAAAACGATAACTATCAAGTGACAGACAAATATATTTACTCCCGAAACCGTGTAAGTCCCATAAATACATAATGGTAGACACGTGAGGCGACATATCTCGCCCTACTGACCTCGACTTACATTCGTGACCTACTCGTGTTATTCTGGGACAAGGTGAATGGCGTGCAACTCTCATTGTGAGACACGTGACCCAGATGTATGTCGACTGATCTTATTGTCCTCTGTTGTTACTGTCAGTCCTCGACCGCCTCCGTGGTCTAGTGGTACAGCGTCCGCCCGGAGAGCGGAAGGTCCGGGGTTCGATCCCCGACCGTGTCATACCAAAAGACGTTAAAAGAGGGTACTTGTTGTACCCTGTCTGACGCACGGCATTAAGGGGCTAAAACAAGGACTGGTCGGCTCGGAGTCAGTATACTGTGTCTGAGTGGGGCATTCATGTTAAACTGCGGCATAGTATCTCAGTGAGCTAGCACTATAAATCGGCATCAGTCCGGACTAGTACAAGCAGCCACACACACACACACACACACACGTGCATGCACGTCGCTATATAAGTGCAATAATCTTGGACGCGACGTTAAACCCAATTTCACCTCACATCACCTCACCTCACCTCACCTCACCTCACTGTCAGTCCTCTCATACACCCCGCGACCAAATACTGTGCATAAACAACTTGATCGGGTATATGCATTCGTCACCACTCGCCCCTTTCCGTAACCTGCAAGAAGACTCGTCCCCCTATCGATGAATGTTATGTGCGAAAATACGACAAACCAATCAGAATGCACGTATGATTTCAAGTTCTTCGTCAAAGAAACCCTCAGAAATAATTTTGATTTTACATATGTCTTGCATCCAAAAATATACCAAAGACACAGTTAAATGTGTTCAATCATACTGTATAATTCTGCACGTCCCGATGTGCTTTAAATTGCATCTAAAATATACATAATATATGGGGAAAATGTGTGAACCATTACGCAACGAGTTGACAATTGTTTTAGGTATGCCCGTTTGCGCTAAGACGGAACCCGGTCGCAAAAATGGCCACGAGAGGGGCACGAGTCGCTATTCGGCTTGTCCCGGAATAACACGAGTTGGTCACGATTGCGGGTATATGGGGCAGTGGCCTTGAACAAACACGTCGCCAATGTTGTTCATCACACGGACAGTACCGGGTCCACGGCACAACCTGACACATGTTAATTCGAACATATGCAAACACAGCTTTGGTTGAGAATGGTAAACACCGTGTTTGCTCAGCACGTTCTTAAATTTCATATAGCCATAGACAGGATTAAGAGTAAATATGTAATGGTTACATTCCAGGGTCAGTTCAGTGACCCACGTGCGTGTACATACGTAAAATGCGGCGACATGACATTGAAAGATGGCCAGGAGATTAAGGTCCTTCCCGGAGGGGGCATATGATTAGAGGTTGGTTGGTTGGTTTGTTGTTTACGCCGCACTCAGCAATATTCCAGCTATATGACGGCGGTCAGTAAATAATCGAGTCTCGATCAGACGATCCAGTGATTGACATCGTGAGCATCGATCCACGCATCGGGATCGATGACATGTATCAACCAAGTCAGCGAGCCTGACCACCCGATCCCGTTAGTAGCCTCTTACGACAAGCATAGTCCCCTTTTACGGCAAGCATGGGTTGCTGAAGACCTATTCTACCCCGATCTTCACGGGTCACCTATCGATGTAACATGCATGTTATAATTACTGTATACTGGTACTTTCAATATTGTCACTATTTTCAAAATGCTTTTGAGGACCAAGCTCCACGACGTGTTTTAGTGCAAAACATTTCAAATGGCTTATTATGCACAGTTAAAAACATCCATTTTATGTAAGAACTATCTGAGTAGTATAACTGTAAATAAATTCAGGACCA